GTAGTGTTGCCGGGGTGCTCTAGAAAGATACTCTGCCACTTGTTCCACTTTTGAGGAAAAAATCCTTCATGTTTCTGTATTTAAGTAGATTTTTGCTTCCACCCACACCCACGACCACAAGCTGTGAGAAATGACCGAAACACTGAGACTGTGGACACAAGCAGTGGTAAATGAGCATCCTCTGAAGGATGTCTGATCTCAGCATTAGAGAGAGGGTGAGGGCCTCAGTCATTCAGGAGGTGCTCAGAGTAGAGCTGCTGCCCCTCTACATCAAAAGAAACCAGGTGGGGTGGTTCAGGCTTCTGACATAAGTTAGGTGTTTGGGGCATGTCCTGCTGAGCGGAGAGAGCACTCGCTGGAGAGATCACATCTCATGGCTGGCCTTGGAACACCTCAGAGGAGCTGGAGGAAGTGGCTGTGGAGAGGAAGGTGTGGCCATCTCTGCTTAGACTGTTACTCCCATGACTTGGACACAGAAGAGGGTAGAACCTGGACGGATGGCTTAATTCACACACCACTGCATTTGGCTTTGCGGTATGTGGTCGCTGCTCAACCACCGAGCTAAACCAGTGTCCAAAAGCATAGCATTTTTTAACAATGCTTTTATTGTGAAACATTGTTAGGATCTTTATTGGTGAACTCACTGGAAATGAAATACAAGAAAACTCAGACTAGGTAGAAACCAGGAACTTACTAGGAACCTGTGACAGTTACATAGAACAGAGTGAGCACGTGACAAAGGACAAGGGGAGACTACCACAATAAATATACAGACAAATAATGAAAGGATATGAAACCTTAATTTTTTGTGATTTTTTTTTTAATTACAACTTGCTGACATCAGCCTGCTTTGACCCATGACCTTGAACCATTAAATACTAAAATAGTGTACTTTATGATCTTTACCCATATGAATCAGTTGAAATCTTTGGCTCTATGAGCTGTAAGAACTTGAGATATTTTGATTTTGCAAAACTTTATGGTGTCATTGTGATGTCGTAGGGTGTCGTATTAAAAAAAGTGCGTGTCGTACACCTCTCTACGTGCCCTTTCATATGATAGATTATGGTTTCTTGATTTTTTTTTCCAGGGTCAACTTTGACCTTGGTTGCTAACACGTACTCATGTCCCCCAATACCAAGTATCATGTTGTGAAGTTTGATAATCCACAAAAAACTGTAGATAATACAAAGTTTTTACTGATTTTCATAAATGTGCCATGACCTTGACCTGGTTTTCATCAAAATGAAATCAGCTTCAGCTGTTATTGGTTTCCAAGATATCATTTATCTAAAAATGATATCTTGGATACTGTGCATGCTAGACTGCTTACAAGCACAGACAAACAGTATGGATTGTATACTTCCTCCTGTTGTGGGGAGAACAAGGACTAAACTAGAACATAACCTAAGAATAAGATGGACTAGAAGGCAAAGTACAAACAGAGACAGTGGGTAAATAAATAAACGAGATAAGGGGAAAAATCACTAATGTTTATCAAAAGAGAAAAATTTGGTCAAAATTGATCCTCAAACAAAAAAGAATCACAAGTATGTGAATTCATAAAGTGTGGCTTCCATGAGCTGTAAGAACTTGACCACAAATTTGTTCTTGTGGTCTTTTAAGGCTGATTAATTAGTGTAAAATTCTCACTGTGGTTTAACCGTGGGCATAGCTGTTATCTGTTGTTGCACCTCAGTACTGTATTACATAGCTCTGCACGTCTGACCCTGATATACTTCAGCTTACAAGAATAAACACTCCTAACTGGTTGTTATCTTAACAGAAACATGGTGAAGAACTGACCACAAGAAGCGACCACCTGGAGAAACAGCTTGCAGGTAAAAAACAACAAAAACACAACCCAAAAATAAAAACCGCATTCTGAGTTGAATTCATCGCTTCACGTTGTCAAGCACTGAACAGGAGCCATCCTTTTGTGTTACGGCTGGGGCAGAAATTACAGCGTCGTTTGAGATGAAAGTGCAGGCGCTAAAACAAGATCTGGACAACATCTGGAAAAGTGAGATCAGCGATAGCGAAAACCACTGGAACAGCCACATCGCTGCTCTTAAACAAGATCACGATGAAACCTACCGCAGCGCTGAGGAATTTGTCATTATCATGAAAACGGACACGGACACGCTTACTGAACTCAAGGTGCGATCACAAACACAAGCTTTGTTTAAACCTATAACTCACTACTGATCAGTCTTCTGCTTGTGACTACAGCTTATAATTTTTAGAACGGTTTATCTATGAAATAGCAGAACCATTAGAGGGTATCTTTAAACCGAGTGAATTAATAATTGTTTTGATATTCTGGAAAATGCAAAACAAAAGCCTCCAAATTTGAAATGGTGACTGAAATTTTATTATTTATTGTTGCTGAACAGTTTTTCCACTAGCTTTGACCCAGATATGTCTTATTTTCACATGCAATGTTTTATTTGAATTTTCCAGGGAGAAATTAATGAAGCAAAGAAGAAACAAAAGAGCATGAAACTGGAGGTGGTAACTGTTTTGAAGGAGAACAAACATCTTGCTGAGCTTATCTCAAAGATCAAGGAAGAAAACGATGAAATTGCCAAGAAACTGAGACATTACTCAGGAAATAAGGTTCTTTTGGCACCTTTTTTCACAGAGTTTACTGTTGGACAGTTTCTCTTGCTTTTACCAGCATCTTCGTTGGTGTGCAGCATCGCTGTAGCCCAGTATGAGCATAATTTCTGTGCACTGCTTTTGACAGGATGCAATTGGAAACATCAAAAGAAAAAAGCTGAAAGATCTGAAAGCAGAGCATGAGGTGTTGGAACAGAAATTCAGCGAGGTAAAAACTAACAATCAGCTCCATTCATGTGTAGTTGCACACGTTTTATGTGAATGTTTTTGTGTGTTTGCTGCACAGCTCCAACTGGAAAGGGATGAACTTCGCAAGGCTTTCACTGAGATTGTTGAGAAGGCGCAGCATAATGGAGACATAGAGAACATGGCGGTGGAAAAGAAGCTGCAGGCTCTGACAGAGAGCCTGGAGGAGACGGAGGCTCAGCTCAGTGCGGTGCTTTCAGCCTCCAACATGGACCAAACAGCCCTCAGCAGGGTCATAAAGAAAACTGAGGTAGTGTTGTACATCTACTTCATGTCTCTTCTTCAGCAGTCATCTAAACCTTTACACTAATTTTATATACACTTACTGGCCACTTTGTTAGATACACTAGTTCAACTGTGTATTTACGCAAATATCTAATGAGCCAGTGACATGGTAGCAAGCTGGTGGTGAGGTAATGGTGTGTTTGTGTGTGTGTGGTGGGGGGATTTTCTTGACCCGTCAGGACCAACTGAGCATCATTTAAACACCGCAGCCTACCGGAGTATTGTTGCTGACTGTATCCGCCCCATTATGATCACGGTGTACCCATCTTTTGATGGTTGCGCCCAGCAGAATAACACACCATGTCACAAAGCTCAGATTATCTCAAACTGGTTTCTGGAACATGGCAATGAGTTCAGTGGAGTCAAATAACCGCCACAGTCACCAGATCGCAATCCAATAAAGCACCTTTGGGGTGTGGTGGAACGGGAGAGTCACATTATGAATGTACAGCAATCACGGGACCAAAAATCTGTGAGGAGTGTTTTCAGCACCTTGTTGAATCTGTGCCACAAAGAAATAGGAGAAAAAGCTCTGAAGGCAAAAGGTTCATCCTGGTATGCGCTTTGGGGTCCTTAGGGACTAGTAAAGCGCTATATAAATACAGGCCATTTATTTATTTGATATTAGCAAGGCGTTACCAACAAAGTGGCCTGTGAGTGTATATTTTTAAGTATATTTCTGGAAGTGTCATGTTTTTATAAGAACATTAAAGAAACTCCTAATGTTTTTGCTTGCAGGCACATATTGACTCCAAAAATACTGCCATCAAGACCCTACAGCACAAAATAAATCAAATTTCCATGGTTAGTTGTCTATTTGTTTCCTGAAATTACTTTTAATGTATTTCATAACAATAAGCACAGTGAAACTTTGTATCCTGCAGGTCCGCAAGCATTTGCTGCTGCACACTGAGGTAAAGGCAAAGGCTCTTGGTGTTCCTGTGGAAGAGCTCCTTTGTAATTCCCAATGAGAGGAATCCTCATGGTAAAAATGTGGAGCAGCACTTGGATTAAAGTGAGAAGCAAAGATCGCAAAGACTGGAACACTATTATTTCATTTACATCTTTTCTGTAATCTACCTTTAATGCTCATATGACTTTAAGTAGTAAAGAAATATAAATCAAAATTTAAAATGGGATCTCTTAATCCTGGGGGGGGGGGGGGGGGGGGAAGTTGTGTTGTGTGTTGTTTTAGACTAAAGGGTATGTCATGCCTCTATCTGTAGCATCCTCTGTCACACCAACCCTCAGCATGTCCTCCTTCATGACCTCCATGAATTTCTCTGTGGCCTTTCTCCTTTAGGCCTGCGTGTCATCTCCATATTTGACATCCTTTGTCCAGTATGTCGTCTCTAAAGGGAGCAACTGAAAGATGAAGATACTTCATTGGTCATTTGTCAGGTGTTTTTAATGACAGTCAATAGGTGGCGCTATTCACATAATTCATCGTTGTGTCTCAGACGTCATGGTCACAGATGTTGGTCTGGCTTCACTCTTTCTCTCCTTGTTTGCTCGGTCTGACGCTCTTTGTCATGGGAGCGAGACTCCTCCCAGAAGTGGGCGTAGTTACCCAAGACTTCCGCTGGTGCACCCGTTTCTTATCAACACCCACCTGCAGTATTTAACCACTGTTATTCCTACATTGCCAGATTGCTAAGCTATATCATGTGGCAGTGTCACTCAGGCCTCTTCCAGTAAATGTTTTGGTACTTTCCTTGTTTATCCTCTTCCATCCAGATTGGGTGTGTGAGCCTGCCTAGTGTTACGTAAGGCCCAAAATGGCCTCCGTACAAGGAAGTAGTAGCTCTAATATTGACCAGTAACGAACCACCACACGCACACTGTAATGGGTTACACAAGATTTATTTGTTCTTTCTCCGGGTAAAACTACTGGCTGAAGACAACTCTGGCCAGGAATCCAAGGCCCAAAGCCACCGCGGTCAGGGTTGTTATCCTGGTTACAAACAGGGGAAAGGTGGTCACTTGGAAGAACAAGCAGCCAAAACGTATCAATCCTGCAGCTTCCTCAAAAAGGCTTGCCACCCACCTTTTCAGGCCTGACTTCGTTCGAGGCTGGGTCTCCACATCACATCCTGGGAGCTGGAACTTCCCCAAAACTGGTCCAGTTTCCTTGTCAGGGGCACAGAGAGTCTCCAGTCCAGTGTTTGTTTTCCTGCCTTCCAGCACATCCACTCACATCCCAATAAGAATGAGTCCTCCCTCCAACATCCTCAGTTTATTTTAAAAGCAAAACCAGGCCAGGTTAAAAATCTTTTCCATTAAAATGTGCACACGTCATCCTGGATCTTCGAGGCTTCCCTGCTTCACCAGTGTCCTACTAAAAAAACAACAACAACCCCTACTTCCTGTTTCCTCTCCCCTTTATAGAGAAGGCCTCCAATCCTCCCCAATCAGCTGCTCCCTGTATTCAACTCCAAATAGCTGGCAGCTGGACTAGAGTAGAATCTCCACTCCCACATGGGTGTGGCCCACACCTCACATCAAACACAAAAAAAACACCAAAGCATGCAATTAATACAAAACAAAATCTAAAGAAATGCCAACCCAAAAGCTTAGTGGGGGATTCTCTCCATCCTTTTCCACCATGCTATACTCTGTAACACTAGCTCCTGGTTTTTCCTGCCTGTTCCCCTCTGGCTTTACTGAGGAATACTCACATAAGTCTAGACCCGTGGGCAACAGGGAATTCTTATGTGAATCAACGTCAGTCTTTCTGAACGAGAACCCTGCCGAAAACTGAGCAGTTCAAGAATGCTGGAGTAGCTGAACTCTATCCTGTGTAACGAGACTTGACCATTAGATTGCTGACCTGTGACCTTCCCTTGAACATTATTCAACTTTTATTCCTGAACTTGCCGCAGATTTTGTTACCGTATCTTGAAGTTGTTCATTAAAAGTGTTAAAATTCTTTCCATTGCTTCCTGCATTAAAGTGTTTTGTACAATCATTCAGTGGTTAACGCTACAACGTTGCTTCACAGCAAGACGTTTCTGGGATTGCACCTCCTGGTTGACCTCAGCCCCTCTATGAAGTTCACATGTTCTTTCTTGTTTTTTTCCCCCCCCACTGTCCCAGTGCTTCTTTTTTTACATAACTGCTGTTTCAAAATTGTCTATAGGGTGAGGGTGTGAGAGTGAGTGGATAGTGTCCATGTTGTTCCGCACTCACACCAAGACAGCTGAGATAGGCCCCATGACCCTGAAATGGATAAGTGTAAAACGTGTATATGTTTTGGGTTTTTTTTTGCATATTTTTTGAACTTGTGTAACCATATTTTAGATCAAACAAGATCAAACAAGCACAAAGTACTATACCTTGATAAATAAAGTATAAAAAAACAGTTTGCTAAAAACTGATTGTTGCTTCTGCCTTGTGACAGAAATGTTCTTTCTGGTTCAAAAGTACTTGATGTCATTCATTTGGCATATTTTAGACTAATTATAGGCCAACAACTCATTTACAACAGTTTAAAAATCTGGTAAATAACTCAAAACCACTTTTTGGCACAACACAGGTCCATTGTTTCTCTTTCCTGGATGTTGCTGCTTGTTCTCACCATTTTAAGACACAGAAAACAGCAAAAACAATCAAACAAAACAATATCTCTCACTCAAGCTGCAATTTAAATATATTACTTTTATATTTTGACTAATTGCAAGCTTTTGGCCTCATGTAGGAATATGAGGTCAAAAAGTTGACTCAAATCAAATATTCCAATCTCAACTGCTACTTTCATCAGATGATTTCCCTCCGCCATGACTGAGTTTCCAGCAGAGAGAGGAGGAACGTATGTGGCAGATCCAGTTTCTCATTGCCTATTCCCGTGGTGAATCGAGCCCCGCTGCGCTGAGTGATCGCTGTTCCCCGCTGCATCAATAATACAGGAGGAAGTTATTGTCCCGGTGCAGGCCACAGTATCATACAGCTAAAGCAAGTGGAGGGAGGGGATGGTCCTTTCACTCAACCCTCTAGGGTTTCAGCGCCTGCAGACAGTGGTCTGACTCTGGGGAGCCTGCTCCCGTCCCCTTGCACAGGGCTCAATTGTAAGTTTGCCTGACTGAGGGATAAATGTGTCCAAACACTGACAGCCTGCACAGTCCTGCTGGTCTGGCACTGCTGGTAAGACTACACCCCCAACAAACCCTGTGTCACAAGATGAGTCTCAGCTCAATGGAGAATTAAGCAGCAGGGGGACATGGGACAGTCAGGGGATAGATACCCTGGGTGTGATTAACATGATCCAGATTTTCATGTTCTTTGAGCACCTTGCTGAATGCTGTGACCTTCCTGTAGCCTCGAGGTGCTTCAAAATATACTGGGAGCACCTAAAACATGGGTATGCACTAGTGATGACCAACAAGACTGAGACATGTGATGCCTTATTTCAAAGTAACCACTTTGCCATGCCCATTATCTGCACAGTCAAATGAAGACACACACAAAAAAACAATCCACACAACTAACACCATGAAATACTAATCCAAGCATCAATCTGAACCCCAGAGACAAAGAAAAAAACAGGTGCCACAAATAGTTAAAATAACAGAGTGATAGAGGACACTGGGGGGAGGGGTGGGGAAGGAGAGTGAAAGGTAGAGAAAGTCCAAGCGATGGTGAAATAGAGAGTGGCACTCAGGAAGAGGTCAGTGCAGAGCGGCTCAGTGTGAGGAGGTGTTAGACAAACACTTCAGAGGATACTTACAGGCATGAACGCATAGGAACTGCGGTAAGTTCAGAAAATAAGTTCTCTTCTTTTTGTCTTTAGTATAATTATCATTCAAAAGCATAGTTTTAATGAAACAGATGTATCCTGGTATTCTAAGGATGTACTGAAGTGTGAATATAAGAATCCTGTTTAACAGTCTTTAGATATCCATTCAGTGTAAAATGTGGACCCTTTAAATTTTCAGCCCCAACATTTGTAAGACTTAATTACATTACTGATACTTGTTTTAGCAGCCATGATGGTAAGGTGATGTGGTAGCCAGGCATTAAGGTTTAATATCCCCTTTCCACTGAGACACTTTACTCCTTAAGTCCAACCCCATCACCTAAAATGAAAAAGCATTTCAATGAGGGTTTTGTGAAATCAATAGCAGACTCAGTCTATAGAGCAACATGTGACACCAACGAGTCGCGGTGTGGGCTGGCACGAGATGAAGATGGCTATGAAAGGGTCGGAGGTGGCTGCTCTTAAATTCACAAGCATCATAGTTTGTGCTGTTTTACTCAGACAAGGAGCACCTGAGAAGACAGGTGAGTAGGCCACCAAAACATGCTACCAAATCCACTTTTTTATGTATTTAGTTACTATCTGTTTATTACACAATCTCTGATGCTATTTTATAGGAGGTGGCAAGGAAGACCAGAAATACGCCATTCTGAAGGAGATCATTTCAGAGTGGAGTAAAGGAGGTGGTGCAAATCCACAGAGAGCTCCCACTGAGACAAACACCAAGGATCAGTCTGTGCCCACTTGGATGAGGAATATCGTGGGGGGCTTAAAAACGCTTGGTCTACTTCCCAGCAGGAATATGCCTTCTTTAAACAAGCCAATTAACAGACATCGTCTCTCTGGCTTCCTCTACAACATCTCCATGTACCTTCAGGAGATGGGTGCTGAGTTGGAGGAGGAGCCGGCAGAGCCAGACGAGGAGCAGCTTTGGGAGAAAGTGCTGCATTATTTCCTGCAGTCTGAAGGAAACGCTGCCCAGAATCAGTGGAACGGCCGGGTACCACCCCGGCCCAGCGTTAGAGTGCAGGACTGGTTTCTGTCCCTCAGAGGTAGCCCACACTGGGACTGGCTCCTAGGCCTGCTGCAGAGCCTCATCACTCTATCAGAGCGTCAGTCTCACAGGCCCTTCTTGACTTTCATAGCTCAAAACTGGAGGACAGTGAGTGCTGTGCTGGAAGCTGCTCTTCAGGCTCTCGTCAGTGGGACCTACGGTCAGGCCAGTGCAGGCCTACAAAGCTTCATCTGTGCACTGAAGGGTCGCACTGACTGTGCCTTTAGTGTCAGCTGGCTTCAGCAGCTGCTGCAGTTCCTAGAAACACGCAGCTGGAAGCCTGTGGTTAGTTTGCACCCAGCAGGGGAAGCTGCTGAACACAGCAAGGGCTCGAATGCATTCGGACGTTTAAAGCCCTTCAGCTTGCCCCCTGAGGCCATGAGACAGAATGGGTTGTACGGAAATGCATCCGTGGATGAAATGGTAGCCACCGAGACGGAGGCAAACTCCATGCAAAGCTTGCTGCTGCAGGCTTTGTCACGTTCGGGTGGAGGCGAGCGAGGAGGCAATTTGGCACAGAAAAATTTAGCTCTCGTGCAGAGTTTGGATGGGCTGAGGAGGGGCCTCCTGCACAGGGTGGGCAGTTCTGTCTATGGCAACCTGAGGGAGAAAGTATCAAGAGTCACAATGGCGCTGCTTGATGACGTCAGCAGCCTGGTGGATATGCCACAGCCCAAAACCCGGAGCCGGTGCTCCGCTGGTGAGTATTTATATGAGATTTGGTCTAAAGTTGTTCTCACAATTAGAAGAAATAAAAAACAGGAGTTAAATTTATCTGATGTGGTTAGAAATCTTTGTTTTTTGCATTTAAACACAAACTAACATCAGAATCTTTTCATAATTTCATAATTAAATAAGGTCACACACCCTCTTCCTGTAGTTTCCATAAAAAGTGCTCGTTCAGAAAACAATTTTAACCCAGAGAAACCCCCCAGGGAGAGGACGGTGACAGTGAATGACACTGCTTTAAAAACGCTATAATCATCCTGGCCAGTGAGGGCATCTGTTAATCCTCCCATTGATGTCAGTAACTTTATATGTTGGGCATTGTTAGCCGAGCTGCAGTGTTACATCATCCATGGTTGTGTACTGCAGAAGCTTCCAGCTGCTTTTCCACTGCTTATTCACTTTGATTTCCAAATAATATTTCCTTTCTTATCGGTCTTCTTGAAGGCGACCTACGACAGCTCATCTTATGGTAAGATATATTAGAAATATAAATGACTACGTTTTTGATTTAATTTGATATATTTTGCATTAAATATCTAGCAAAACAAAACAGACATTGTTCTGTCTGTGGATTTGTAGGGGAATAAGGCACAACGTGATGTGGAACACTCAAGCTTTGGGTGTAAGCTCCCGGGGCCTCCCGAGCTCCCTCCCATTCCTGTCCTGCCCTTCCACTGAAGGAGATGAGCCAAGATCACCAAAATCACCAGCTCAGTCAACCCCAAAAGCCACTCCCGCTGCACGTAAAGCCTCCAACATAAAGCTTCACATTGAACCATTAACTGCACTTAACAGCCAGTCACAAACAGAGACTAAAGAGAGCACCGGTCAGCAGAAGGAGATGGAGTACTCCACCTCTACAGAAATCCTGGAGGCCGCATGTAATGAATCCATCCCAGGCTTGACCGGCGTCTCTAACTTCACTGTATTCCTCTATTGTAAACTGTTTGAAGGTGAGAATGGGTCAGTTAACCCTGCAATGGATCAGATGGAGCTCGACCTGCATGCTACGTGCTCTGATGCAGCCTGGTACCTGTCTGCTGCAGAGGAGGACTTCCTCTGGGTCCATGTCTGCAGCGAGTTCTTTGCCCATGAATTTAACAATACAGTGTGTGCCAACTCATCTTTCTGGCTGCAGAGAGCACATCAGGTAATGGATTACTTTTTAGATGAGTGAGCACAAGTGTCTTCTTGGAATTCAGCTTAGCAAGGAATACAAATTTGAGTTTTGGTTGCCTTTTTTTTTAAATCTTAGCATACAGTCATGTGAAAAAATTAGGACATGCTGTGAAAGCCTGCAAGCATGTTTGGTCATATGGAAATTTAATATTCATTTTAACAATAGTGGGAGGTTCAAATGATAAAACGAAACAATTATAACTGAAGAAAACACATTTTAATGTAAAATGCAATACTTGAGTTAGGACACCGCTGCATTAATTCACATTAAAAATGGCCAAGGATTCGCTCACAGGCGAATCACATCAGTCGCACATGATTAAAACATCCTTACTCAGCATTTTAAAGGAGGCTTGCCCTGTTTAAACCTAAGACGCTGAGTTTGGTGTGCTCCTGACCATTGAAGTGAGAGTGAACACTATCATGAGATCAAAAGAGCTGTCTCAGGTCTTCAGATAGAAGATTGCAGCAGCTTATGAGTTTGGGAAGGGATTTGGAAAGATCTCAAAAGAATTTGAGGTCAGCGATTCCTTCCCAAAAATAGTCTACAAGTGGAGGACATTGACACAGG